AGATTACAGATCGGTAACGCTCAGTTCGTTACCAGAGCTTTCATCAGCTAGATCGAGTTCGAGCACAGCCCATCTTCGGCATCAATTTCCACTGCATCACAAAATGAAGCCTCACTTTATAAGAGTGATTAATGCTAAAGAAGCCGTGGATAAAGGGCAAACAAGTTTGCTTGTGGATAAACATGGCAAAGGCCAGAGTGGTGGTAAACGAATTTGCACAAGCAGGTACAGAGGGAGGCACTGAACATGTCATTTAGGGTAAGCAGTTGTTCATATGGCGCGAATTACGGACAAGAAGAACGTTGACGTTTTTGAAAAATCTTTCGAGAAAAGTCGAATTTGAATAAAAAATAATCGCGAAAGCATTAAGGAATCATCAGCTTACCGTCAAAGTTTCTTAATTGAGTTAACCTCCAGCCATTAAAATGAAAGCTTTATTCAGTCTTTTGACACGCCATAGGGTTTAGAAGATATTTTTTGATATGAGATTCATTCCGTTTGGCCTTGAAATTATGGTTCTTTTTAGACCAATTCGCCTTAGCGGAATGGGGAGTTGTCAGTCATTCTGTGCTTTTGTTTTCTGTATTTGCTAAAAAAGTTATGAATTAACCCTCATGACTTCTGCAGTGTTTGTGGAAAATACGTTTTCAGAATTCGTCAATGATTTAGCTGTTCCTGTGTCTGTTTCTGATCTTGATTATTATTAAAGACGGTAGCATGTCCAACTATAAATTATGTTATGTGCTTTACTCGTACTTTACGATGTGTTTATGCACTGAATGTATTTATTTTTAGGTGTGGGATCTCAATATGGAATCTCGGCCAGTCGAAACTTATAGTATTCATGAATACCTCCGTTCTAAACTCTGCGCGCTCTACGAAAATGACTGTATATTTGATAAATTTGAATGCTGTTGGAGCGGCGGAGACAGGTAGTTATTAAACTTAGCTTTGAATATTACACAATCTGTGATCTTATGGCGATTTTTTTAAAATTTATTCAATGTAGATTGTGAATGACCCCCGTTTCTTTGCTTTTAGCCACATTATGACCGGATCGTACAACAATTTCTTTCGCGTGTTTAATCGCAAGACCGGTGCCGATGTCACCTTAGAAGCGAGTCCAGAAATCGCCAAACCTCACACAGTCCTCACGTCAAAGATGATATGTCAAGGAGGCAAAAAGAAAAACGAAGAAATTTCGCCTGATTGCTTGGACTTTTCGAAAAAAATACTTCATACCGCGTGGCATCCATATGAAAACATTGTTGCTGTCGCAGCTACGAACAATCTTTACATCTTTCAAGGCCGATTTTAGCTCCATTGTTTTGTACAAAAATCGTATAGTAAATACTTGTAATTGAATTGCTGCTACGTTTTTAACTTGTTGCCTTTTAAAACAATAATTTTGTTTTGCGTTGCTCTGTATGTGCGTTTCGACCGACAGCAAACAAAATAGTTGATTCAACAATAAAAAAGGTTTTGCAAGAAACCACCGTTCTTTTTAAACTGACAGTATGCTAGTAAACCCATAAGATCGGGTTTAACTTTTCTGTATAAACTATCGTTCTTTTTATCCATTTCGTTTTAATAACGGCGATCGTTGTGCAGTTAATTTCGTTGCTGTTTCTTTCTCCGTTGTACCATATGTAAATGAGTTAATGTTACATTGCATTTTTTGAAAGTTTATGATATCCTCGGTTCATCACAAGGTTTTCAGTTCCGTGATCAACTGATTTGAGCTGTTCAGTGATGATTCATGTTTTCGTTTTGCAGAAGCAAGGATACATGATATCGGCCACAATGGATTGAAAGTTGTGGGTCAGCACTGATTCATATGGAATAAACGGAATATAATGAACAAGCTCTCGCGGACAGTGAAATGCTGATGTTACAAGAATGGTAGCATAACTACTTTGGAGGTGGGTACAAAATACTATAAACATATTACACGGCAACGTTACAAAATCTGTATGAGCGTATAATGATAGTTAATAACGAAAATAGCAATTGTATTATGTTTGATAATCACTCTACTCACTCTCGTCTGTCTTGTGCGATTTATCGTCACAGGTTGCCATATGTTTTAGCTCGCCTTACCGTCACACTAGAGATCCAACAGCTGAGAATATGCAGCTCCTTGGGTAACAAGCTGTCCCCCCTGCTTACGTCCATTAAATTCGGGAACAAACCAGTTGGCCCAGGGCAGCTGATCGTAAGTGCCACAAAGTTGGCCCAAGGCGTCAGACGTCGCGCTCAATAATTCAGCAAAGCGCAATTTAAGTCAAATCGTTAGGGACTCTGTATAAATCAAGCATATCTAAACACGGGATTGTATCTGACCGGTACTTTAAGCAACGTTGTTTAAAAATTTAATGCAATACAGAATGCAGGCATTCGCGAGAGCCTTGTGTACAGTTGCTGCTTCTTCAGGTTGAGAAGTCGCAACTGCGATGGTTTGGGCATTAGTTGTGACCGCCTCCAGAAAGAAAGGCGAAACAACTATCTCTTGCCCAGCACACCATCGAAAGGGCCACAGAGCTGCCAAGACTAACCTTCAAATATATAGGAGTCTGCTCCAGACGCCGGTTTTCTTCTGTATAAGATCAGACTGACACGGGATCGGGAATGTCGGAAACATTGTCTGACCCGTCTGCCTCCTCCAACAGGAAGGAGAAGCGGTTATAGAAGATGAAGATAAAATTTAATGCAGAGAACGATATTTCAAGAGATGTTACAAATAAATGCATATCAAAAGTGAAGCGAAGAATGCTTTAAATACAAAAATCATAACTGTCGCAAGAAAGACAATGACCGGCTGACTGAATATATTCACAGAACATCAACAACTTAAGATATAAACTGACTACCGCCAAGGTAATCCATTTCATCGTGTGAGACCGTCCCTATCGATCCATACACACCAGAACTTCGTCTACGATATGCCATCCAGCGAACGCCGTTGACAGCTACTTGCGGAGCCATATAGTCTACCTTATTTTATTACAAAATAAAGACACACCATGTCACTTAATGACGATCACATTAAAGCAAAGAAGACCAACCGTCTGAATCAAACATAATGAATGAATATATTATTCGAGAACATAATGAACATAATATTCGAGAAAAGTGACGAGCATTAGTTGAAAGATTATGCTATGCAAAGGTTCTCGTGAATGCGGCTAATTTGATATTTAGTATGCAAAATAATTGCATGAAACAAGACTCGGTATTTCAAATTGTTCAGAACTTGGGCAAAAGGATAAAAGCGAATATTTTCACGAAAGCCATTGATACGAAACATTTCGATGCAGAGGATCATGCGGCATTAATTACCACACCAACTTAGACATCATAGAGCTTGCGTTTCGCAGAAACGTTTTTACCAGTGAAATGTAATAGAGGCATCTTTGAATGCCGCTGTGATAAGGTAGAAATCACATTTAGAACATTTGGATTGCTTCAAAAATACGTGTCAGACTGTAGAATTAGCGAATGTTTAATTTCACCTACACCGAGTGCGGAAAAGTGGCGAGGAAAACTGTCGAAATTGCACGCACTCGCGTGATCTACAAATACGAATTTCTAGAATTTCTTTAATACGCAATCAACAATTAAGTTGATTAGAGTGTCGTATAAATGATAATTATAAACTTTTCTTTGAAGGAGATTGAATTCTTACGGCTACCACGATTTGACGTACAAATCTAAAGTTAAACCGAATTCGCAGAAGCTCAGTCGTGTACCACTACGATTATACAGAGAGTAAATGCTAAGTGAGGGGGGGGGGGCACGAAAGAAAAAGAAAGTTTATCCATTTAGGTAATAACAGTTGCTATCAGCACACAGCAGCATATTTCGTAAACGCAATTAGCAATATAGCAGCAAAACAACTTCAGCGCAGTATCCTTACACATTTTTGTTCTTCCGGCTTTCTTCTATGCGAAAAGATGCAGAACCATTAATTTTAGAATTATTGAACATATTTTTCCAGCAATGTCAAAACTTGGCGGCCTTGTATTACTAACATTCACAGGAAATGAGCCATATCCTGTCGGATGATATTTAGCCGTATTGAAAATTAGGTACAATTAAATTGTAGATATCCATGATTTCCAAGATTGCTGTTATGTGTATGACACATCCTTTTTGCAGAAATGCATATACTGTTTTACGGTTAGTTGTTGCAGTTTTAAGATATGACGTAATTTGATAGTTTTCTTTCGCATTTAACGATTGTTTTTTTGAACATTTATGAAAAAATTTCGAAACTGATTATTCACTATTTATAAAACATTGCTAATTGTACTTTGAAAATTATGTGTATGCATTTGTGATTTCCGATTTGCCGCAAATGTTGTTGTCTTTGTCATCTGGGGCACCAGGGTCAAGGACAGAATACCTGGATTAATAACGTCTGACTCTTTGGCTTTGAATAATGTAAGTGTTCAGGAGCGATCGGATGATGATGGAAGTGATTTTCGCACGAACAGTGCCCCAGGATGTCCGATGTGGCAACTTCACTTATTGGATGTTTATCTTATACGATATGGGCTGCTTTCCTCATTATTTTTCATTCTAATCTGACACAGTGCAGATAAGCGGAACACCTTGGTGACCGACAGTTAAATGCTAAGCATTGCTTGCACCCTACTCTCCTGTCATCCTGTCGCTGCTGACCGGATTAATGCTCTTGGATCTCGCATTTTCTTATGATTTCTGGTTGTTTAGACAGTGACATCTGGAAGTGGTTAGTTCTCTTTTAATGAAGAGTCGAACTGTTTCAGTCAGGCCGTTATCCTAAGCTAAACAGGAGTGGCCGATTATAAATCCCAAGCGATTACGAAAGGAGGTAACGGTGATCATGGAATTTATATTTTCATGTAATTAAGAGATATTTATTTGTAGGGAAGACACTCTGCCAAGAAATGTAATTCATTTTAGCGACGCCTGCCCAGACAACTATGACTCTTTGCCGAGAACGTTCGAATCTTTTGATAGGTATGTTTGGTTTGGACTGTAGTCGCATCTTACCTTACGGCGAAACTTTTTGTTACATTTCCATAAATCCTCAGATACTGAAAGGCTCACAACAGGCCATGCAATAGAATCGGTAGCCGCCTGTGGTCACTTGTCTCTCGCATGGCCGGCGAGTAGCTTCCGTGCGAGCAGCGACTGGGGTCACTGCCTAATACTTTCTCGAAAGAACCTTTCGCCGTTGTTTACGTGCATGTTCCAGTCGTTCAAGAGCTGTTGCCAGTCCTGCATTGATTAAGGTTTCTTAGTGATGTGAAGCGGTTCGTTTGTTCATTAGAAATGCTGACCAAATTTTTATTGTGATGTCGAAGTACGTTAACAAAGCCGAAGTGGAATTAAGTTTAACCAGATCTGCTATCCCGCTGATTACTTCAAGACCAAATTGGCGCAGCTCTACTATTTAATAAATCTAATGACAACGATACCCTTCTTCAATGCTGTTGATAAGTGTGTTTTAGATATCCAGTTGATACCTGATTCTAGTTCTTAGCAGATCAGATGAGTAAAAGCGAAATACAGCACATAGCTCACGCATCAGGCAGCATTGCTTTGTGCTTCGCACGCTCTGGCTTGACATTACGAGACGAACCTTTACGCAATTGATCCATCTGATGGCTGACTATCCTGTGAAATAATCAGCACACTGGGTGTAAACCTAAAGTGTGCCAACTAAGAAATTGTCTCACTTTGATTTGTCTGCTTGTGTAAC